GACACAGTGCTCCAGGTGGGGCCTCACGAGACCAGAGCAGAGGAGGAGAATCCCCTCCCTCAGCCTCCTGGCCTCGATTCTTTTTGATGCAGGTTCACCTCACACAGGTTGCACAGGATCCCCAGGTGGGATTTGAATATCTCCAGAAAAGGGGGACTCCAAACCTCTCTGGTCAGCCACTTCCAGTGCTCTGTCACCCACTAATTAAAGAAGCTTCTCCTCGAAGCATTCCTTGAAGGATGCTGATATAGCATCTCCCCAGATCCCTGCCACTGCCCCCCAGGATCCACTTGTTCAGCCCTGGGAAGAGAAGGGACTTGTGTTGGTTCCTGGATGCTCAGCCCCCACCACTCTTCCCAGTGCTGAACGTGTCTCCTGGCTGACCAGCATCCACCCATCTGTCCCCCATCTCTCTTTATTTTTCAAAGGTTTTCTGGCTCTTTTGATAGAGACTCATCAAAGAGCGGGTGGGAGTGTTTGCCACCAAGGGAGGGTCAGGATGGGTGAGGGATGCTTTCACCAGAGCCTCTGGATGTCAAAAAGATTATGAAAGAGACAGCTGGGAAGGCGAGGAATGAGCTTTGTGATTTGTGGCCTTAGAAAAAAACTCTTAAACCTTTAAGATCTTGACAGGATTTTACATGAAAACTGTCAAGACTTTCCCTCTGCTTGTAGGTCTTGAAACACCCCGTCCCTTCTCTAGGCTCAGCCTTGCAACTTGTTGGCTAAAGGGGACTCCTTACAAGATGAAAGGGGCTTATAGCCATGGGCAGGATGCTGCAGGGGAGAGTGATACCCTTGCCAGGGCAGCTAAAGAGGAATCTCCCTCAGGAATGAAGTTAATCTTTGAAACTTTGCAGCAAAACAAGTCTCTTTTCAAAAGCTTAATAAACAGCAGCACGCTTCCTTCTCACTGGGCCTCAGTCCTGGAGCAGGTGTGGGTAGGGAAAACTTGGGACACTTCAATCTGAGGGCAAATGTTTGAGGGTTTGCTTCTATAACAAAAACCTTGCAAAGAGACGTTACAGCTGTGTAGGATGAGAATAAAAGTGTAGGACTAAAACCAAACTCCTTGTCATTAGGCCAGTCTAACCTAGTGATTGAGTTGAATCTAGAGACACCACAAGAACTTTCACACTGTGCCCCCGTCCCTGGCAGGGAGCCCCTTCAAAAGCCATTATCCACCTTTACATAGGTTTGAAAATGTTAAAAATCTGAGAGAAAGAGATGAGGAAAGGGCAGGAACATCTGAGCATCTTGCTACTTTCTTTTTCCCCCGGTTTGTTCTCTTTCCAAAATAAATAATGCTTGCTTGGCTGAGACCAAACAGTCCCAAGAATTTTGTTTTCCCATCTGTGTAATAAGCCTCTGCAAACAGAAGATTTTTCTTGATCTTCTCTATTTATCACTCCACTAGCTGTTCAAATTTCCAGCTCCGGGTGGTTTCCTACAAATTTTCAGGTGCCAGAGCACAATGTTTTGGGGCAGGTGGAGAGAGGAGACAGGCTGATAAAAATCTTCATGAAGCTGGGGAAGGGTCTGGAGCACAAGTGTGCTGAGTTCCCTTGTGGCTGAGGGAACTGGGGTTGTTGAGCCTGGAGAAAAGGAGGCTGAGGGGAGACCTTCTGGCTCTGTCCAAGTCCCTTGGAGGAGGGTGGAGAGAGGTGGGGGTGGGTCTGTTCAACCAAGGCCCAAGGGACAGGACAAGAGGAAATGGGCTCCAGTTGTGGCCAGGGCAGTTGAGATGGGATGTGAGGAAGAATTTCTTTGCTGCAAGGGTTCCGAGGCATTGGAAGGGGTTGCCCAGGGCAGTGGTGGAGTCCCCATCAGACACAGTGCTGAGGGACATGGGTTAGTTGGGGACTGGTCAGTGTTGGGTTCATGGTTGGACTTGATGATCTTAAAGGGCTTTTCCAGTTGAGGCCATTCTGGGATTCTGTGTGATCTGTACCTCATCGCTGCTTTTCCTTGTTGAGGTTTCCTCAGAGCAAACTGTTCTTAACTTACTACTCTTGCTTTTGAGCACTGTCATCTCTAGTGTGGCTGGATGTAGAAAAGTACAGGATGCAAACTCCAGCTGGTGTAGGAAAGGTGTATTTTTTTACAGGGTTTAGATAATGCCTTGAAATCATTTCAGGACATGGAATGGGAAGATGCAGCGGGACATGGGTGGTGTTGCTGGACTACATCCTTTCTCCTGAATCAATTTCAGAACTGATTTACTGGTCTTCTGTCCTCCAGGTCTTTCCAATGGTCCTGAAGCAATGGAAGTGGATGGCCTCCAGGAAGTCCCCCTCTGTAGCTGTCGAATGGAAACCCCCAAAAGCAGAGAGATCACCACGCTAGCCAACAACCAGTGCATGGCCACGGAGAGTGTGGATAACGAGGTAAGAACCTGTCTTTCAGCTTCTCACAGACTTTTCTGCTGTGGACAAAGACATAAAGAATACAAATCAGTGCCAGGAACACGTGTTGGGTCACGCAAGGGCTCTGTAGCCTGCTAAACTGGGAACAGACTGGTGTGTGGGAATGGCAGGGCAAACATCTCGCTCGCTAAGCTGAGGGCTCCAGCACTCTGCACGTATCTCACGGTTGGGTTGAAGCTGCTTGGAATGGAGGAGGTGGTGCAGTCTGCAGCTGGAGAAGTGCTGGGTGGATCTCTGCTGCTTGTCCTGGCCTGTGTGGCTGGATCAGGTTGATGTAACAGACACACTTCAGGCCAAGTGGCTTAAAATACATTAGCATGTATCAAAGGGAGCAAATCCAATCAGAGGAAGCTTGGAGCTGGTTTCCCTTGACTACGAAGGAGCTGATGCAAACTTTTCTGTAGCCAGCTCTTGAGTTTCAGGGACTTGGCATGGCCTCTGCCTGCTCAGTCTGCCCCAGCCTTCCTCTCTCCTCCCCCCCCATGAAGAGGCTTCTGTTACAAAGCTTCTGATGTCCTGGCAACCCTGCCCAGCCTCCAGGTCTGGCTGACTGAAAACGAACTTGGTGCCTGTCAGCCGATCACAACTGGGCTAATTGGGCTCTACTGGTTCCAGAAGTGTGGAAGTAAGTGGCAGAACTGACTCCCTCCCTCAGTCTGGAAAGAGGGACTGCAGGACAGGAACACACTCAGTAGATCCTACTTTTACTGGGAGGCACTTGGGTTTCTTTAAAGCTTCAGGTGAGCTGTAGTCACCCTGCAGCACTCCCAGATTTGCTGGTAGTAGGAAAAGGAGTGAGAATATTCCTAGTTCTGTAGGATCCCAGGAGAAGGATGGATGGAGGGAAAAAGGGATAATCATATTCAAAGCCCAGCTCTGCTTCTGTTAGTACCTGCAGGTACCTATAGGGAAAGGAATTTCCAAGGGATGGCAAAATTGATTCATTAAAGAGAGAACGTCCTGGAGACTTAGAGGAGAGAGGGGTACCCCAGGGTTTCTAAATAAACAAAAAGCATATGAAAGATGCTTCTCGTGTAGATGTTGGTTTGACACTTCTGTCCCTGGGTAAATCAGAGAGGGAAATAGCAAAGGCTATGTTTTATGTTAGATTCTTTTTTTATAATGGGATAAGTGACTCATAGATGTTATAAGAATATTATACGTGTGAATAGTGGGTTCTCCAGACTGTCATGTCCTTGGAGAATGTTATAAATAGTTATGAGCACCCTGCTGCACTCTCTAATAGTTGGAAAAATAGCAGTTAATCATTTTGTACTTCTTTATAGAGTTTCTAACAAATAATCTAGTGTGACATAACAGTGCAGGGACCTCCTCACATGGGCAGTGCAGCTTTTCGTGCGTGAATCAGATTTCCTCAGCTCAGAAGTAAAATCAATGCAACAGTCCTCTCCTGCCACCCCTGCAGCCCTTGGGGTCTGTGTGTTAATGGTGATCAGTGTGGCCAAGGTGTCACCACCACAGGTAGACTTTGCAGCTGGAATTTGGGTAAGTTGAATCGGAGATGCTAGGGATGAGCCTAGGTTAAAATCCCTTCTCTTTTTTTCTGTAGGGGTGTTGATTCTACAGAAGAAGTGGAGTTTAAAAAGAAAATTAGAGAGAAAGTCTAGTTTTGTTGAGGAAAAAGCAGCAAATCAAACCTCAGCTAGACCAGAGGGATGGTCTGTTGGTGCTGAGCAGGCACCGTGTTCCTGACTGACTCCTCTGCTCATGGTGGCAGCTCACATTAAACCATGCACAGATTTCAGCAGGGACGTTTCCTTGTAGCAGCCTTTCACCTTTGTAATTCTAGATTATCCATGTCCTTTGTCAAGCATCTGGGGAAAGCAAGGTTATTCTCAAGAGGAACTTGGAGAACCCAAACAGCATGGTGTCCTGCTAGCAGGTGGCAACTGGGATGTGAGAATGTCGTAGATGTGTGAGTGGGAACAGCAGAAGGAAATGCTGGTCCTTCTGACACATCAGAGAGAGTGACACTGGGAAAAGTGAACCCCAGTTATGGAGCCTGCTGTCATTACCAGAACAAGGTGGTACACGAGAAATCAGCTTTTTAAGCCCAAACCCTTCCAAAAACATGCTCAAAATGTGACTTTAGCTGAGCTCTCATGAAGACCTGGCTCTTCATCCCTGTGGTCTGGGCAGGGGCCAGTGCTGGAACCAGTACAGACGATAACTTTGTTGGCAACGAAGAGCAATTATTTTTCCCTTTATCTTCCTGTGACTTCTACTTTTGAACACTTAACAAGATTTAGTGCGTATGGTCTTGTTCTTTTGGTCACTGACACCCTCTCTTCCTGGCAAAAGGAAGAGTGTATGTTGTGTGAGTCAGGCCCATGGGACTGCCCCTTCTGCCGCTGCTTGGCTGTTGCCTATTTCCAGTTATGAGATTTTTTTTATTATTATTATTATTATTCTTGCAAGGAACAAAACGACTCGGGGTCCACATTGCATGTTAGTTAGTAAATGATGCATTTCTTCCTGTGAGAGCAGCTTTCACAGCTTCCTGCTGCACTGCTAATACTATCTGGCACGTATTTGAATTACTGTGAAAAAGCCAGGGCTCATCAATCAAAGCAGCGTGCAAAATAAAAATCTTCCTCCGCACAAGCACAGAGAGTGGTTTTTGGTCTCCAGTAATTTCATTTCCTTTAATTTCTCCTGTTCCAGCTGGGCCGATGCACAAACAGTGTGGTTAAGTATGAACTGATGCGCCCGTCTAACAAAGTCCAGCTTTTGGTGCTGTGTGAGGACCATAGAGGGAGGATGGTGAAACACCAGTGTTGCCCTGGCTGTGGATACTTTTGCACTGCAGTAAGTCCGTGCTCTCAATCTAGGGAAAGGGGGTACCTGTCACAATAGCTGGAAGAGCTGAAGGTGGAGAATGGTACCTAAAAGGGTTTACTGACTTCCTGGCATCAACTCCACCTCATTCCACAGCATGTCAGGAGGTGTTTTCAACAGGAATGTGTGTGAGGGTAGCTGCAATTGTCACCTTTTATCTTCCTGGAGACCCCAAGGGGTGTTCCTGAAGGGTTTTTACACACTGGAAGTCTTGCCTTAGGGTTTTGTTGGGTTTTTTTTTTTTTTTTTAGAACAAGGGTTTATTTTTTATTTTTTCTTTCTCTGTACAGATCAATCACATAAAAATTTGTATTAGCTTGGTTTGTAAATGAATCTGTGTACACAAGAGTGGTTCTTTCCCCCCTGCCTGCTCATGAGTGTTTAGGCAGGGAACCTGAGTGATGGCACTGGAACGAGGCAATATTTGAGATCTCCTGCAGCTTCTTCCATCTCTGCCACTGAGGCTTTTAATAGTGTTGGTCCAGTCCTTTAAGTCATCATTGTCCTAGTTTCCCTGTTGGTAAAGCTGAAAAAAAAAAACCCAATTGAGAGCCTCACGGGGTGATGAGAAGGTTTAATTGTCTGATGCCAGTGTTCTTCAGGATGACTCAATGAGAGATGCTACAGTCGTCTTAAAGAAGTGGAGCCATCCTGAGTTTTCATGCTGAGTCAAAGATAATTTAAAAGATAAAATCCTCCAAACCCTTAAAGGCATTTTGCAAAGCTGAAATAGAGTTAATCAGATTGCTTGGGGGGTACAGTGACTTCAGGAGAAGAGTGGGTTTTAACCAGCCTTTCCTTACGTGCTCGTACGTCTCTCAGGGACGTGTCGTAGTTGACACAGGTGAACCTGAGAGTCTTTGTGCTCTCCATCACTGACACCACAGAGCAGAGCTTCAGGTAGCACTGATATCACAGGGCAATGGATTCTCAGGTGCCTTCAGTTCAGTTCAAAGGACTTTGCTGGAAAGGGAAAATAATTGTAAGAAAAGTTGCCCAAGTTTGTTGAATGAGCAGTCAGCCACGTTCTTGGGGTTAAACAGCATACGGGGCTGGTCCGAGCAGAGAAGTCACATACTTTAGGTTACACTGGGGTTACCAGCTGATTTATTTATATTCATGTAGGTCCTGGAATGGTTTATGTGCAGCTTTATTAGGTAGTTTTAATGCTGGCTCAGCACAGAGGTTTGAAGTTTTCTTTTTCCAGTGTTGGGAGCATCCTTACAGTACACTGGCACTTCTAGAAATATAAACAAGAACTTCAAGTGTTAAAGAGCTGGAAATTGGGACTTCTTGGTTCTTTTTCCTAAGCACAATTTAAAAACTTGCTTTGCAGTCCCTAACCAAATGAGTTTTTTCCCTTGTTACCTTGATTTTGTTCTCTTCTAAAGAAGTGGCAGTGCTTGCTTACTGTATTGGAAGCACCAGGGACAAGAGTGGTGATGAAGGAAATGTTTGAGATCTGCGGATGAAGCATGCAGAAGGGGTAAGGCATGTAGTGACCATGGTGTGAATTTCTTCTCTGTGGTTTTTTTAGGGCACTTTCATGGAGTGTCAGCCGGAGAGCAGCATCTCCCACCGTTTCCATAAGAACTGTGCCTCCCAGGTCAATGACATGAGCTACTGCCCACACTGCGGGGAAGAGGCCTCCAAGGCAAAGGAAGTGACAATAGCAAAAGCAGACACAACCTCGACGGTGTCGCTGACCTACGAGCAGCAGAAACCAGCAGCTGTGGAGGGAAGGGCTGACACCACGACAGGCAGGTGAGCTTGGGAGCATGTGGAGATCTCAAACCTCATGGCAAATTGTGCTTTGCATTTGACTGCTTGTGCTTCTCCTGATGGGGCAAAGTCCTTTCTGGTCCTGCTCTGACAAGCCACGCTCAGCTGAAGGAATCTGCAAGTGTGTTTTGAGTTGCTTGTTGTGTCAGAGAAGAGCTCAGCAGCCACAGGGTAAACTGGAGCAGAGGTTCTAAAGACAGGAGGTGTTCAGGAGTTAAAACCATTCCTTCCTCTTGTTGTTAGGAATGGAATAATAGTGGAAAGAGTTGATGTTTCAGGTCTGCTACGTGACAGGGAAATCCATGCAGTACCTAGCTGTAGCTCCTGACTTGCAGGAATATAAAGAGAGGATGAAAACACAGAGGAGAACACAAATCAAACCATCCCTGTGTTGAACAGTGCTCTGACTTCATGTCTGATCTGATCTTCTCCCAGTGGTTTTTATAACTTGCCCCATGTTCCTGGGTTTCCTGTAGTGTACATCAAAATGTAATCACAGGGCTGAGAAGTTCCTTTCTGGGGCAAGTTCTTACCGAAAAGGCTGTAAAATATATTGGTTTGTGTTTCGATTTTGCTTACGTTTATCTGTATTCAAAATCCATTTCCTTTCCTTCTTTGGCATAAGATACACACTGGTTTGTATTTTTAATGGTTGTGCTGTCTCTCATTTTCTCTCTTCAGTGGCACTGGGACACGGTTGTCAGAGGAAGACAAGCCAGAAAGTTCAGCTGCTGAAGGATTTGACATGGCTGGGTCTTCAGTTTTTCCAAAGCCTACTACTAGTCTGTCCCAAGGACCAGTTAAAGAAACTCTGGAAAGTGCCCTGATTGCCCTGGACTCTGAAAAGTAAGAAAAAGACTGCTGGGTCTCTCCAGTTTCCAGCAAAGTTGCTTAACTTAGAGAAAACTGAGATTTAACTCTGTTTTTTGGCCCCACTCAGACCTTTTTTCATTCGCTTCAGTCATTTGTCACCCCCAACAGATTACTGATTGAAGAGAACAGTTACAGCTCTAAATGTCTTATTAATTTGTCTGGAGGATTTGATTTTTCACTGGATAGAAAACTTGCAGCTCCAACCACAGCTGTAATTATTAGGAGTTCCTGTTTACAGTAGTAAGACCCAGAATTTGTTGGTGAGCGACATTGGATAGATTCAGCCCTCGTTAGAACAAGGCTGGCTGTGGTTGGAGCTGCAACTTTTAAGACCTGCTTCTGGACACTTGTTCCTGTGTTTTGCTGGCACTCTTGAGCTATACCACAGGACCAGACTTTGTCATGCATGGAATAAGAGTAGGGTGGGGTGAAATGCCAGGAATATTCTTCAATGAGTATTAATTTTGCTTCTTTTCTCCACTCCTGCAGACCCAAGAAGTTACGGTTCCATCCAAAGCAGTTGTACTTCTCTGCCAGGCAAGGAGAGCTGCAAAAAGTCCTGCTTATGTTGGGTAGGTAGCTCCTTCCCAGGGCATTGGGTGTCTGACAGGACTCACAGCTCCTGCCAGGCAGCTGCCAGAGCCCAGTTCCCACCAAGGCAGTGTGTGGTATTCCCCACTGCCCCTTGTGAGTGGAGCTGGAGGAGAAAGCCACTTTTGCAAGTGATGTGTCATTGGAAGTGGCTTCCTCTTGCTGTGAAATGTGGACCTGCCCCCAGCTTTTTTCTGCATTTGGACATGATTTTATCCAGAGAAGCTGTTTCTGTCCCCAAGTGACCCACGTGTGAGTCTTCTTCCAGTTTGACACAGCTTTTTCTCTCCATGCAATGGGATAGTTGGGTATCTGCATCCAGTAGCGAGGTAAAAAGATGGGAGTCAGCTTAAGCTGAGACCCATCAGCAAGACAGCAGAAGGGGAGAGCCCTTCAGTACACAGGCTTTGTTTTAGGGGTACATAGTTGCCTGTCACCAGATGACTTTGAGCTGCTGAGCTGCTTTTTGCCAACAAATATTCCTGAGGAATCTCCCTCTTAGAAGGACACAATGTTTCCTTGGGATCATTTCCTTTCCACTCCAGTACTTTGCACTACATTTTTGGATGCTTTCTGTTCTTTTCATTTATCAGATTCTTCTTTTTTCTTCTAGCAAGTGTTAGCTTCATTGTTCGTGTCTTCAATAGCACAAAAATGTTATTCATTGATATTTAACTACGGCCTCATCATATACACAACATGTTATCATGCCCAGACATCTTTGTCTGGCTGTCATCATCATCTGTCAGTCTTTGCACAGCTGTGAGAATCTCTGGCCAGATCCCAAGCTTGTGTTAGGAGAAGCTCCACCCTGTTTGTAGCCCTGTGCTTTCAGGGATGCAATGAGGATCGCTAATATTAATTGCAGTTAATAGTGATGAGACAAAAAGTCCAGGTAGTACAGACTCTTTGTTGTTTCCAACTTCTATGTTGCTTTAAACAGTTTTTTTTTGGTTTTTTTTTCATTTTTTATCCTTTTATGCTGTTCATAGGCTGGTTTGGGTTGGAAGGGACCTTTAAAGCTCATCTAGTCCAACCCCCCTGCAGTAAACAGGGACATCTCCAACCAGATCAGGTTGCTCACAGCCCTGTCCAACCTGACCTTGAATATTTCCAGGGATGGGGTTTCTACCACCTCTCTGGGCAACCTGGGCCAGTGTCTCACCACCTTCACTGTACAAAATCTCTTCTTGTGTATCTAGTCTAAATCTTCCCTCTTTCAGTTTAAAACCATCACCCTTTGCCCTGTTGCTACAAGTCCTATCACCAGTGGTGTTTGTTTTTGTTGCATTAAGAGACAGGGAATTGGGAATCTGAGGGAGATAGCCTGTGCAGAAATTGTAATGCCTTAAAGGTATTAAATTCCATGGTGTTTCTGAAGCTCTTGGTTTGGGGGTTGTTGCATATTGAATATCCATGGGACTACCCTGAGAGCTTTCTGCCTTGAATGTGTAGTGAAGGGCTGAGGATGGGCTGGAAACCCATCTGTTAAAAGCCTTTAGTTGAGACTTGGTTCTCCTGTTACACTTTTCTCTAATCTCTGAATTGTGGTTGAAAGCATCTCTGCTCTGTTTTTTAGTGGATGGAATTGACCCTAATTTTAAAATGGAGCATCAGAATAAGAGAACCCCTCTCCATGCAGCCGCTGAGTCTGGCCACGTGGACATCTGCCATATGCTGATTCAGGTCTGTCTCCACTTACATTCTTCTGTACAAGCATTTTTCTGTGGTTTTTGGTCTCCTGCCCCACATGGTTAAAGCACACTTGGAAATCAGCACTGAAATGTTTCTCCTATGAAAACCTGCTTATTCTCAGGGTTTGCTGAGGGGAGGATTGGTGCAGAGTAGCATGAGGTCTTAGAGGACATGACTGAAGCTGTATTTCTGGGCTGTTCTCCAAACAAGCTTCACTGTCCAGGCAATGAGCACATGAAGCTTCGATGTAGGGCACTGTGGAGCATGTGGGAACCTATATGCCTAAGCACACCCGTGCCCTGCCAGATGTGCCAGCACAGGCAGACTGCAAGCTGCTACCAAGTTGCTCTTGATTACAAAGGCAGGTAGGCTCTGGAGCCTGGAAGGTAGCAGACCCTGTCTTCCCTTCTGTCAAAACCTGAGTAACTCCAGGAGGATTTTCCTCTGCAGTGTAAATGTCACCACACGTGAGAAGGAGAGAAGAAAAGATGCAAGTTTGGCTTGTTATCTGAGATTTTTTAATTCTAATTGAGGGAAGATAGTCAAAGACATAGGGGTGCTCTCATTGAACCCATTCCAAAATGATGTGAAAAAAAAAAAGGAGGAGTTAGAAAGTTCTAGTTTTTATTTTTTACACTGCCATACATAGTTTGGAGTGCCTGGAAGTATGTTTTGTTTTCCCTGGGTGACTGGGAAACCTTAAAGGGATTTTGAGAAAGCAGCAGTGCCACATCTTTGAAAATGAGCCTGCTGGGATGTTGTGTTTCAGCATCTGGAGTCAGAGGCTTCCAAAGTGCTGTTTGAAGATGCAGCTTTGGGCCTACCCTGCTGCTCTCACTCACTTGAGATGCTGCACGTGAAGACAACGGACTGACTCGTAGGAGTAAAAGGAGCAAAATCTGCAAGATACTACAAACAATTTGAATTGAGTATCAGTAGAGTTGGTTTGTTTCCAAAATCCTTCATCATCTTGTCTCTTTCCTGATGTCTGGCTACTCCAGTAGCAAAATATTTGTCTGGGAATGTCCCCAACTTGTTAAACTTGAAGTGCCTCTTCTCTGGTCTGGTTTAAATAGCTCTAGTTATTTAAAAAGGAATCAAAACAAATACATTCAGTGGGAGGCACCTGGAAGCAATGGGGCCAAATTCTTGTGCCAGGTGAACCTGAGTCAATGTGTCACTGCTGTAAACAGCCCTGTGCTTTGTGCATATATATGCATATGTGGCCTGCCAAGACTTGTGCTGCCTCTGAGATTTTCTTTTGGTTTAAATATTGTATGAATTACTGAGCTAAGCCAAAGAGTTAAAGCAGGCAAGATACATGACACAGTAAGTGTTTTGGAAAAGAGTTAAGATTTTGGTCCAAGGCACTCCAACGTCTGCTCAGAGACCTCTGCAGAAATGTCACTGTTGACTTCAACAGGAATAATTAGCCAATCTCCAGAGCTCCTACCTCTGTTGCAATCAGCAACTTGTTCCTGCTGCTTGTGACATTGGGAAGAGCTGGTTGTTTTGTTCATTTTCTCTGTAGAAATGAGAGACCGAAATCAAAGCTACTGCAGAAAGGAGCAGGCTGGTTTTTCCAAGTTGTTACACAAACAATATCCAGAAAGTAGAAGTACAAAATGCATTAATAACAAGAGTCATTTAATCCCAGCTGTTGGCTTCCCCATGCTCTGCTCACTGGCTGTAGAAGGCAGGAGAGAGGGCAGGCAGTGTTTGCTGCTTTCCAAAACAGGTGAAGTTGGACTGTCTTGCTACTAAATCTCTGCTCCCACATCCTTCCTCTGCTGAGCAGTAATGTTATAATTGTCCTTGTGTTTGCTTTGGCCTCTTAATAGGCTGGTGCTAATATAGACACTTGCTCTGAAGACCAGAGGACCCCACTGATGGAAGCAGCAGAAAACAACCATCTGGAAACTGTGAAATACCTTATCAAGGCTGGAGCACTAGTAGATCCTAAGGTAGCAGTTTATTCCTTATCTATTTTTTCACTTGAAGAAACCTCTGTCCACCATTTCTTTCCAACTTTTAAGGCTTCAGGGTGGAAGCACCCAGGCAGAGGGCAAACAGACTTGCTTGTGTTGGGCATGAAGGCTTGGCAAAGCCATGGTTATCAGTAGATTTCATTTTAATGATGCAGTGTCCAGGCTGTGAGCAGTTTGGGGCAAGTGCTGCCACTTGCTACATTAGTTTGTGGCACCAAACATCACAGGGGTATTTGATTTCTTCTGGGGCCACTAAGTATTAATGTCACAAATCCATTGCAGTGAATTTGGAGTTTGATTTCAGAGTTTCCTTCTCTATAGATTCTAATAATGAGACTTTTGAGGTAACATTTTAAAATGGGCTGGTAATTAGGTGCTTGCCAAGCCAACAAAAATGACAGAGGAAGCTTTGCTTTCCAAAAAGGCCTGATGTGTGGTTTCTTGCAATCACGCCACAGTGGCAAAATTGGACCCCATCTTTAAACTCTACCCTTTAATTTAAACAAATACAATAAAATGCAGCTGTCTGTTTGCCTCTAGCATGCTCTGGTTGCTTTGCAATCTTGGAATATATACAAATCGTTTATTACTCCCATAAATCAGACGCTATTTAGAGCACAGGAACCCTCCCCACGTGAACTTCTTATTGTTACAACCTGCTGCTGTTGGCGTGCTCCTCTGGTATAACTGGGGAGTTACAGCAGGGCTGGGATCTTCTGTTTCTAAAGGAGCTGGCAAGGCCAGGAAAATTGCACAAGATATCAAGTGCTGTCCACCTCGAGCCTTAAACAGATCTTTGGGAGCCTGCTTCTGAGCTGGGAAGGGGGAAAGGACAAGACATGCACGTGCAGGTTCATCCTGGCCACTGTCCTGAGCCCCTTGGAGCAATCCAGGCATCTCTTGCCTGATTTATTTGTGTGTAGGAGAAAAGAGGGGTTTTTTTTGCTTCTAAAGGTAAAGAGAAGGAAAAAAAATCCTGAGCTTGCAAAAGCAAATTAGAAGCCTGACATCACGTCTGAAGTCTAGACTAGTTTATTATGTTAATTAGTTTCTTGCACCAAATTAGTCATCTTTTTTGAAAGCTGAGCCACGTTGCATCTTAAAATCATCTCCAGCCATTTTGTTGAGAAATGAAGACATTTAACTGCTGCAGGTGTGTGCTGAGCCTGCCCAGCCCAGCCCTGCAGGACTGCTGGGTGGAGGAGATGCTGAGGACAATGGTGGGGTGGGTGGAGGCTTCTCAGACCCCACACAAAGAGCACAAAGCTCTTGATCCTGTTAATATGGTGTAAAAGCCCCACTCAGAACCTGCAGAAGCTTGGTGATGCCTGCTCTCCAAAGGGTTGAGAAGCTGCTCTTGGCTCCTACTGATCTAAGGGGAAAGCTGTGGCATTATTCAGATGTGACAGGCACTTCTGGGCACCAGAAACCCCTTTTTTTACCCCAAGAAGTAATCCTTGACCCAAGATGTCCCATCCTTGCTCAGAGGGTTGCTCCCTAGCCCTGTGCTGTGCCCTCTCCTTGGCACCACTGGAAAGCTCTCCCCTCCAATGTTGCTTCCAGGGACTTAGCAGAGTCCTTTTGGTTCCTTCCAGGGCTTAGAGTCCTTTTGGTTTTTCAGTCTTTTAATTTCCTCCTCCTTATTCCCTGGTCTCTGGGCCTTGCTACGCGCTAAGATCTTGGAATAGAAACGCCTGGTAAAAATCAGGCTCTAGCTGAGATCTTTGGTGTTACTGTGGGAGTGTCTCCATCATGACTCACAGCCTGTCCATCTCCACCAGACCCTGTCTTCTCAGCTCCCAAAAGTATTTTTCCTTTCAACCTTCACAGCTTTTATCTCCTGTCTTGGTGGATGGCTGTGGGCAGGCTGGGGACTTGGTCTCTCAGAGGCTTCTAGCCCCTGTGCAGGACACCCCTTTGCCCTGCTGCCAGGTGCTGGGATAAGACCTTGTGCAAATAAAAACACAGCAAAAAAACCTGTATAAACAGATCATTTCAGGTTGAGAAAAGGCTGCTTTTCTGATGTAAAGTGCAAGCTCTGCCTCTGTAAGGGATTTCTGCTTCCCCTTGGCTCTCCAGCACACGGAGAGGAGCTGGAGAAGGGTCTACTGGGGAAGGGGAGCATCAGTTTGCCAGACTTTGGGGCTGGTACCTACCCTAAGCTTTGCAAAGGCATCTCTACCTGTAGCCTTTGCACACTCACCCTCCTGCTCTGCATGGGTTGCACCTCTGAGCTTTGTGTGAGCATCAAGGTGCTCCCTCTGCTCCATGCCAGCATTGGTTGCTGCTGCTCTCTCCCCTCCTGGCAGTGGCCCAGGGGCTTTTGAAGTCTTCTGCTCCATCCATGAACTTCTCTGCTGGTTCCTAAGCGTTGCTGGTGTCATATACGTGTGGGAAACACTGGGAAGGGATGTTCCCTGAGCACTTGTTCTGTGATTGTGTCCAGGATGCGGAAGGATCCACGTGTCTGCACTTGGCTGCCAAGAAGGGGCACTACGACGTTGTTCAGTACCTCCTCTCCAATGGGAAGATGGATGTTAACTGCCAGGTGAGGCCTTTCTGCCAGGGTTAGAAGCTGCTTTTCTTAGGTCAGGGACCTCTCTGTGCAATGGTTTCTCAAATACAGTCCTGCTGCTGGAAGGGACCTCAAAAACATTATAGGGTGACAGTGCCATGGGCATCCTGGTCTGCTGGAGAAGGTGATCCCCTCCACTGACCTCATGGAATCTTTCCTTCCATGTGCCTCAATTTGCAGTTTGTCCTTGACCCCAGATTTGGTGGTGGAGCCTGTTTCCCAAGGGGGTCACTGTGCTCCTCCTAGCAGGGGGGTGCTGGGTTCATGATGTGCTGTGGGATGGATCAAGCCTGACCCTCCGTCATAGACCTTCTCCATTGCTGTGGGGTGAGGCACCACTGCATCAAGGTTCCTCATTCCAGGGGAAGGCCAGCTCCTTCAGGCTCCTCAGGGAGCTTTTCTCAGAGCTTTTTACACAAGCTGGATGTTCATTGTGCCTTTTGGACACAGTCAGCTGTATTTGAACACCCTGGAGATCCATTGCCAGTGTGCTGAGCTGCAGATAAACTCCAGCCTGCTGAGGTGTGTTGGTTCAAATCGCACTGGGCTCTGCAGGACCCTGAGGGACCTCTCCCTGCAGCAGTGTAGACTGAAAGAGAGTGATGAGACAGATGTGGGGAGGGAAGGGGTCTGTGCTCCTAGGCAAGCTGCACCCTGCTGTGTCTGCCAAGGGGCTTGTGAAGCTGGCAGGAGACCCTCTTGCCCCTTCTGTGTGTCTCACCCTTTCCTTTCCCTCCCCAGGATGATGGAGGCTGGACGCCAATGATCTGGGCCACTGAGTACAAGCATATCGAGCTGGTGAAGCTGCTGCTTGCAAAGGGGTCAGACATCAACATCCGTGACAATGTGAGGTTCTTCCTGGAATCTGTTTTGGAAATTATCCACCGTTTCTCTTTGAAAACTGAACAAGCCCAAGAAGGCAGGATTTTGGGCTGAGGGCACAGTGAGGCCAGTGGTCCCTTGGTACAGGTGGTTTGGAGCAGGGAGTGAGCAGTGTCTGGTGGGACAGTTTTCTTCCATATGTTGGAAAGAAGTTTACATGCTGCCAAGAAATCCTCTTCCTCCAGCCCTTCTGACACAGCCCCTAAAGATGCTGTACATAATGCTCCAGGTTGTGGTTAGCTCTGAGCTTCTGGGTCTGCTGTGCTGTCACTTGGACCCTGCACTGGGCAGATCCTCCTTTAGGGCCACAAAGATGATGAGGAGCCTGGAGCATCTCCTGTGTGAGGAGAGGCTGAGAGAGCTGGGACTGTTCAGCCTGGAAAAGAGCAGCCTGAGAGGGGATCTGATCAATGTCTATAAATATCTGAAATGTGGGGGCCAAATGGATGGGGCTGGGCTCTTCTCGGTGGTCCCCAGGGACAGGACAAGGGGCAATGGGCACAAACTGGAACACCAGAAGTTCCAGACAAACTGAAGGAAAAACTTCTTCACTGTGAGGGTGCCAGAGCCCTGGGACAGGCTGCCCAGAGAGGGTGTGGAGGCTCCATCTCTGGAGATGTTCAAACCCACCTGGACACTTTCCTGTGCAACCTGCTGTAGGGAAGCTGCTTGGGCAGGGGGGTTGGACTGGATGATCTCCTGAGGTCCCTTCCCACGCCACCAGTCTGTGATGCTGTGAGTCCAGACTTACCAGCTCCACATTGGTCCTGGGCCAGTGTGCATTGGGCATGGGTTGAGATTAGGGGCATCCTGTGTGACTTTTGGGGGGCACAAGCTTGTACTCATGTTTTCCAGATGGATTGGGCAGACACTTTGCCAGCGAGTGTCACAAGCCTGGCGTTTCCTGGGCATAACAGGAACGGAGCCACCAACATGGACAGAGCGTGCCCAGGCTGGAGGCTCAGTGTGCTGGAGATGGCTCTTGGCCAGCTCCATAAATCCTACTTCACCTCCATAAATCCTACTCGAGTGGGAGATACTCTGTACTTGAGGGAGTCTGACTCCAGGTGGAGTCCCTGGGAGCTCCCTGGGCCCGGCAGCGCTGTGTGTTGGGCTGTGCCAGCCAGTTTCACCAGGATTTTCAAGACTGGGGGGGGAAAAGGAGAACATCCAGGCCTCTGCTCAGGAGACTCATTGTGTCAGCACTGCTCCTCTTCTTTTTTCTTATTTTTCCTTTCTGTCTCTAAGGATACTGAAACCACAGAAGTACCTGCAAAGCAAGCCTGGGTGTGAACTGGGCCGCTTTGACCTGTAGATGTGAGATAATTTGATAAATGAAGGGTGTTTGGCTTCGCTGCAGTCTGCACAGTGTTGTTACAGCAAAGTACCTACCCTGCCATCAGTTCCCGCTCTAGCAGACCTCATGGCAATGTATTTTCCTGTCCAAGGCTGCTAGTGCTTTTCTGACTCCAAGGGATATAAGCAGTTGGTTTGTATTTGTCTCCCCGAATGCCTCGTGTTGTGTTTTGGGTGCTAGCGGGGGGGGTGTTGGCACTTTTATCCCAGAAAGGCTCCAGCTATTCCCAAGGAGTCGTTATCCCCAGGAGTCCTATCCCAAGGAGTCTGAAAGCCCCTTCTTGGTAGGAATCTCTGTTTCCTTGGTAGCTTAGATAGTTTTCAGGCAGGTCCAGATCTGATACTGTTCCTAAAAACAAAAGTCAAGGCAGGAGAGCGGGATTTTTGAGTTGCTGCATTGCTTCAGAGCCTGAGCGCTGACTCTGAACGACACCGACTTGTATGATCTCTTGCAGAAGCCTTTGGCCACCAGTTACAAGATCACACAGTAAATGATGAAAAATCAAATCAGCTCAGTCAACAATTTACTTGACAAGAAAAATATCCTCTTAGCAGATGTACTGCATATCCGTTACCATACCTGCATTCAGCGTCTCCTGATCGCAGTCATTGAGAAGCGATGTCACTTGTGCTGGAAACATTGGACTCGGGGAGAAATGGCTTTTGATTTTAATTAGGCAATAGCCTGTTCAAGGCAGAGCAGTGTGTCTGGGTGTCTGTAACCTGTCTGAGCAGCAGCACGTGGTGTGCAGTCGACAGGGTTAATTTTTTCTGTAGATTGATACATGATGCTGATTAGGGTTTTTTTTCCCCCTAATTATTACCATAATGGGAAGCAAAAGCTATATAGAAAGAGGTCTCCCCACTCCCTGCTGTATGTCAATAGCCTCCCCATTTAAGGAGGGATCTAAGTTAAGTTGTGATGACTAAAAAAATGAGCTTTATTTTTGCTTTCCAAAAAAAAAAGGGAGAAAAGTTAGGTGATCATTACTATCATTGCACTGTTGTAATCGCCGTCTTTAGAGCTTGTCATGAGGAAGGGTTTGAAGTGAGCTGCAAATTGCACTGTAACAGAAAACGGAGGATCATCGCTTAAAATATCTCCATCAAAAAAGATGAGTGTTCAGCTATTTCTAGTGCTGCTTGTGAGAGATGAGTACATACAGTATTGAAGAGATGCCTGAAGTCGGATTGATTGCTTTCCCTGTGGCTCATGGTTCTCTCTTTTCTAGCACCTTCATATACCCTGTAGCTTGTGCTGTGCTCTTTTTCTCTTTGATTTTGTAGCACTGGGAGCACGTTTTAGCTTTGCTGGGTGTCTGGGCTGGGGAAGCTCAGCTCCTCGCCTTTTCCAGCATGTTTGTTCATGTCTCTCACTTCTCTCTCATGGATTTATCCAGATTGTTTTGTGGCTTAGAGACAGACGACTTGCCTGTGTATGTAAGGAAAGCGATGGGCTGCTTTGTGCGCAGCCTCCCCGTCTTTAATGTGTGGAGGCAGCTGGAGTGAGAACTCCCTGCTTGTCTGTGCTGAGATTTCCCTGCCCACCCTGGCAGTCCCAGCCAGAAAGAGCAACGTAGGGAAGGAAGCTTCGAGCCACGTGTTGAGTGCTGCAGGTGTAGAGCTAAGGATGGTGAAGTCCCAAAGCGATAAGGTTTTAATGCACTAAACAGTCTCTACTCTGTTTTCTTTCCCTCCAGGAGGAAAATATTTGTTTGCACTGGGCTGCTTTTTCAGGCTGTGTTGACATAGCAGAGATCCTGCTGGCTGCTAAGTGTGATTTACACGCGGTGAATATTCACGGGGACTCACCCCTGCATATTGCAGCCAGAGAGAACCGCTACGAATGCGTCTTTTTTTTCCAGCCCTACTGCTTCTCTCCCTTCCCCTCATCACTTCTTTCCACCTGGCCACTGGCTGGCAAGCTCAGGAGATCCTTTGAAAAGCTTTTGGCATTTAAGCACAAAAATTAGGATGGAGGGCTTGTTTCTCCATTGCCCTGCTCGTAGGGACAGTGGGTCTGAAGTACTAGTTGCTGTCAGAGCTGGTGTAAAAAAAAAAAGATCAGAAACTGTGGAGTGATCCTGGAGTCTTGGGCAGAGGGCTTGAGGGGCTGTACTGTGCCTGGGATCCCCAGCAGAAAGGCATCAGGCATCCTTGATTCAAGTTTTGGGTTGTTTTTATGGTGGTATAATATGGTAACGGGGCTTTTCCTTTGCTTCATCACTGCTGTGAATAAAGTCATCATGTGTACTCACCAAAAGCTGATGACTATCAACAAGGACCAAGTCCAATACCAGTTTCCTGTGGGACTCTTCCCATTTCCAGCCTACTGTTCCCACCCCATATCTTTCCATGACAGAGAGATTTTTCCAGCCTGTCTGATGTTAGGCTGGTACCAGTAAGGTCCTTGTCATGCCTGAAGCAAGGTGAGGTTTGCCCAGAGCTTTCATGAGTGCCTAGAGCTCCATCTGTGCCTTCTGCCAGCACCTTCACGTAGAAGGATTCACTGAACTGTGCTTAATCAAGAAAACTCAGGTGATTATTCACCACTACACATTCTTTCCTGTCCCATAAGGCTGGCTAGAGGATGTGGTTCAGCTTGTTTTCCCCTTGTGAGGTTTCTCTTGGGGGATGCTTATCCTCTCTTGCTCTTTTGCAGTCTCTTTCTTTCCCGTGGCTCGGATGTCACTTTAAAGAACAAGGAAGGTGAGACTCCACTCCAGTGCTCCAGCCTTAACTCTCAGGTCTGGGTGGCCCTACAGATGAACAAGACTCTCAAAGAATCATCTACTGAAAAGCCTCCCCAGATAGAGAAGGTGGTGAACAGGTGAGAATCTGACTGGTTTTGCTTGTGGATCATGAAATAGAGCTCTGGCATAGGGGAGGCTGGGGGCCTGGTTTAAGAAAGGACTGTAAGTGCATGCTTAGCTTTTTAAACTGGTTTGAAGGTCAGTTTGAGCTTAGCAAGAATTAAGCACATGCTGATTCAGACCGTGGTTTGTAAATTCATCCTCCAAATGGAAATATTTGCAAGCACAAAGGACAATCTGTAAGGCAGGGTGGAAAATAATGAACTCTGTTCTAGTCTGAATTGCTTTCAGGCTTTCAACGTTTCGTGATCAAAGACAGCAGTTCTGCCCCAGGATGGCATTTGCATGGCCCCTTGTTCAGGGCAGCTTTTCTTCTCTGACCATTCTCTTTCTTCCCCTGACAGAGACATCGCTCGGGGTTATGAGCGGATCCCGATTCCCTGCATCAATTCAGTGGACAACGAGCCTTGTCCAAGCAACTACAAATATGTTTCACAGAACTGTGTCACCTCCCCGATTGACATCGATAGAAATATCACTCATTTACAGGTGAGGGATCATGTGGATCCAACGTGTCTTTCCCTGTCACCCTGTGTGCAGTCAGGGATGTTGGCAGGATGGGTTTTGCATTCCAAATGGGAATGTCTAGTCCTAATATTGCCATCAAATTCCAGCTAAGGCTGTAGTCCTCAACTCCAGCTCTTGCTCTAGGAGATGGGATTCTGCTGTTCCTCCTTTCTGAGACTTAAGCTAACCTCTGTGTTCAGCTGTGTGCTGTAGCATCAGCCATCTGGTGCTGGCTGGTGTGGCTCCCATCTATCCTTTTCCTCTGTTCGGTGTCTGGAGAGTTAGTAAATTGTTTGGAGACCTTCCCTCGTGCTGTCCTCTCACTGACTGCAGCATCCAGGTCAAGGTCTTCATTGTGGAAGTCCTCAAAGGGCTGGGTTGTGAAAGCAGAGATAGGCTGGGAAAGCGTAGGGTGAAGGTGACCCCTCTCTGGGTGCAGCTCTCAGATGGCTGAAATGAACTTCCCGTGGCCAAACCCCGTGGTGCAGCAGCTGGTGGTGGGACCATGTTGGCTTGGGGAGCCAGCTGGGAGCACCCATGTGGGAAGAAGCAATCAGCAGGGGAGGACTGAGACATCATGTTGTGTCATCTCCTAGCTCTGGTCCCTTCTTGGAGCTTTCCTTGTCCTTGAGTGTGGAGTACAGCTCATAGGGCATGGGGGAAGGTGAGTAACACAGAGGGACATCCTGTCATGAGAAATGAAGATGGCTCAGTGTGAGATCCTTTCCTACAAGCCAACATCCTTTGATGTTCATTACACATGGAGATAAAGGACGGGTTGGAAATGTCACCCAACCCATGAGGCTGGTTACCTTTCTGGCTAACGAGCTGCAGCAGAAGAAGGCAAAGACTTGTGGTTTCCTCTCTGACCCAGTCACAGAAGTTTCTCTTTCAGTTGTGCATGAGTGGCGTGGAGTTAACCCTTTGTCTTCTCTTCCAGTATTGCGTGTGTATAGACGACTGCTCCTCCAGTAACTGCATGTGTGGCCAACTCAGTATGCGCTGCTGGTATGACAAGGTGAGGACACACAACCTGTTGTTGGGTCACACCAGTGTTTGTCAGCTGAACTTTGCACAGTTCAGGGTTTATCATAGTACCTTAAAAACAGTTCCTTGCACAACTCCTCCACTTTTTTTGTTGTAAAATGTGTAAAGTTGTAGTCTGGGCTTTGAGGTGGATGTGATAATAACAAAACACGTACTCAGGGAAGCTTTTCTAGTATTTATTATTTATTTGTCTTCCTGTCATGTCAACTGAGCCATTAATTATACCCATGTGATAGAGAGAATTTAATAATCCATGCGTGAAATCAGCTTCCATTTCAGAGCAACAGAGAAAATGTTGTAATATGGAAGCAAGGGGAGGGAACTAGAGATATTTTGATTTTTTTTTTTTGCCTGCTTTTATTTATTGTGATCCTTCCAAATGAAGGCAAAGTAAAGATGTTTTAACTGCAGCGTTGCCAGAAGCCTGGTTTGTTTGGGGTAAGTGTGCTTCAATCCTCCAGGGAGGTTTTGAGGTTAAGATTTGGACAGGTTCAGCTAAGATGAGAAGTTCTGTGAATCTCTGCAGGTTTCTCCCAGGGGGAATATTGGCATCTTTCTTTTCTTTGTAGCTGTTTTATTTACACGTTAATAGGTGATTACATCTTTCGAGCCTGAAAAGCCAAATTTGTTAAATATGATGAACTGCATCTCTCACTTCTTTGATCCTATATGGTTGTTTATTTGGAAAGATAATGTGGTTCACAGAACTTGGATGTATTGGCCTTGTAATCTGGAAGTTTAGGCTTTATTCCAGAGACAGACTAAGCTTCTGCTTCTCCTATCCAGCACTGCAAAATTGTAATAATGATGATGCACACTGGGTTGTTTTTTTTTTTGCACAGCACTGTAAGATAATTTTTTTTTTTTTTTTTGGTGATACCATACAGCAAAAAATCTAGATAGTCTCTTGCTATTTGTCACTGTTGGTGATAGTGGTGAGTGTGCCATTGTCAAGGTAGAGCAAAACCAGTACAGAAGTTGAGGAGTGATGCTGGTTTTGGAGAGGTCAGGACATTCCTCCACTTTGGGGTTTCTCTGGCCTGTTTTTCCACTTGGGAATTTCTGCTCTTGGTTTGGAGGGGGTCACAGGAATAAAAAAAACTGTGCTAGTTTAACTGA